CTGGTGCAACATCTGAATGTGTTTTAGTGGAACACCCTAAACTCTTGAGCACTTGGGAACGACACTGCTGGACGTGTATTGCATTGCATTTTAGGATACATAGGTGCTGAAGTGGACCTATGAAGATGACTGTCAAAATCAAGGGATCAAGAGTATGTCCATGTAAACTTCCCTTGTTCACTTGATGAAGTGAAACAACTTTAAAATGGTGAGGGGATTCATCCCATGGAAGGGAAGTTCACAAGTGTGTCTAAAAGTGCATTGGAACACAGCCCCATTCAGATGTTCTACCAGCAGTGCACACTTGTGTTAAGTAATTAATGATGTACATCTAAGGGAACAAAACTGAGGGAAGGTAGCATGAAAAAACTGAACTGCAGCCCAAGTCTGCACTTAATAGTGTGCTTTTAAATTTGCAGTGTGCCACACACATCTTGCATTTAAAGCTTCACCATTCGGTTTCCAGCAGAACACGCATGCAAGTGTCATAATAAAAGCTCTATTGTTCAATGTGTTTATTTATCTTACTGTTGTAATGGATAGTAATAATTAGCTATTATTATTCATTTCAAGAGTTAAAGATAAAATAAATACATTAATATAAATAGTGTTAGTAGTATAAATACATAACAGTGTGAAATAACACTTATTATCAGCACACACTGATAGTTTGAGCCACAGGTTAGAACAGCAGCTAGTAAACTAACGGTCCCTAATGCCGAAATGCTCTTTACAGTGGCGCCCTCTGCTGGCCGAACTCATGCAATTATTTTAATTAATCATCCAACAATGCAAAACACATCCCCATGTGTTGTTTAATCTCACCTAATATGTCTTTATCTATTAGTAAAACTTTAAATAAACATATCTTCAGGGAATATCCTCCAACTCTGCAGCTCCTGCTTTCGGTAAAGCTGGTTTTATATTCACACGTTCTGACTTTATCCTTTATAGGGAAATCATATTGGCAGCCATTAAAGTGCACTAGTGCGATTGTGACTATTAAAGTAGTCTATAACATTGTTCACAGTCGATTCAGTCAAACGATTTCAGACCCAATTTTCAAAAATAATGAGATACCAATAGCAACAATAACGTAAAAACAATTAAATTGACTATTATTATTAAAAGCATTAGTTATTATATATATATATATATATATATATATATATATATATATATATATATATATATATATATATATATATATATGTATTTTTTTTTTTTTTTTTTTTTTTGTGTATATATATATATATATATATATATATATAGAGAGAGAGAGAGAGAGAGTGAGTGAGTGAAGAAAAAATATATAAAAAAATAAATAACACACACACGCGCGCGCGCGCGCGCGCG